GCTTGTTTCTATACAGCTGGGAGTTGGTGTGACTCCAGTGAATTCCTGAACAGGTCACATATCGGTGAACAGGGAACCTCTGCACATTGTTGCAAGACTATGGGGCGGATTTTGTCACAACCTGGTGACTTACCTGGGAGTAAGGATTTAGGTTTCCTTGGTATTAAGTCAAAAGCGATACGGATGTACCCTAAGCCGTCAGCTGGCAATGGGTTGGCGTAGTACTCTGAACATGTAGGCGCATAGTTTAAATGATCAGAAAAATTAGTGTTGAAGATCTCGGCCATCTCTAGGTTGGTGAGGTCTTCCGCGTTTGATACTTTGAGAGTACACAACCCTTGACTAGCAGGTTTTCTTTTCGACATGAACATAAACAGATTTTTCAGGTTTGCCTCTATTTTGGCGGCTGGCTTCTTCTGGAATAGTCTACTGTCACTTCGAACTTTTGTATTGCAAGCGTTCAGTGCCACGCCTAACCCAGGTTCTTCTATTCCAATCAAGTATTTCGTGCCATTCGTGTGGAAACAACACCAACATGATTCTGTCACCTCAGTTAGTCGTATAGTCGCTCTGCTTTTAAGTGGCTATTTATATATATAGCCACTCCACCTCCAGTATGGTGTTCTCTATCGCTTCGGGAGGGCGTCATGCCTGGCAAGCTCACTTCGGTGTCTGCAATGTCAGGGGATAGCCATGTTTCAGTAAGGATTATGATCTCCAGATACATCTGAGAGCACATATTCCTGATTTCTAAGAGCTTACCTCTTAGTCCTCTTAAGTTGCTATAGAGGCACTTAGTGGTTTGTCTCAGCACCTGATGCACTTCTGAAGCAGCAGGTATTTTGTCGGTCATGGCTTACAATAATGACATTTCAATTGTTGCAACGACAACAGAACAGATACAGGAGCTCCCGACATTTATGCCGCAACGCGTCAGTGATAACTCAGTTCGGTTACGCCCAGAAAAGTGTCAGTTTATCTTGCAGCTAATAAAATATTTACGGTTCATCTTCGATGCCGACGGCAGCAGACCGAATTATGAGAATATACTGCTAATCAAACTGATGCTCACTGTCACCGATGTCACTTTTCTCAGTATATTCATCCATTATTCAGCGTTCGTTCCTTTGATTCATGATATTCGCGCTCACTGAACGGTGAACCGCAAAGAACAGCAGTTAGTACTGGACCTGGCAATGTGGCGCGCGTTTTAGAAGTTCATTATTAGCTTGTATATGTTGGTAACGCACTACAATCCACCCGTGCCTACCATCGTAGCTGCATACGCTGTAGTGAATGGTCTAGGTGCTGCTATTTCACATCAGTTTCAGGCCACTTCATAAAAAGCCGTGCTGCATGCATCCCGTACATTATCTCCGGCAGAAAAGAAGTACTGCTAGAGAAGAGAAACAGGCTTCTGCGTTCGCAGTTCACCGTTCACATCAGTTTCTCTGGTGAAGAAAATTCATGCTTCTCACTTATTGGAAAGGTCTGAATACTATATTCGGGTCAGAATACAGCATTTCAGCCCATCCTGCACATTCTCAGCGATGTACACTTATTTGAGAATAAATATTATTATTTTTTTATGATTATTAAAACATCAGTACACCAATACATAAAAATCTTAAAGGCGACCGACTTATGAGGTATCATGTTCCCTGTTTCTTCGTGACCGCAGACCAAAAGATGGTCAATAGACAGAAGCTTGAGTGGTCAAAAGAGCTGTTCGTGTCATACACGAATTGAAAAAATTTCATTTAGGAGATAATCTTAGGAGGAGAAAAAAATCCCTCGAAATGTATTAACGAAAAAACTAAAAAACGCCCAATATTTCCAGAAATAGTCTCACAGCTGTTGTCTTGCCATTTATCGCAGTCGGACACTTTAATTTGTCTACTGTTAAATGTCAAAGTGTCCCGTAAAAGCTAGCTGTGTTAAAAAAAATGAACACTTAAGAAAACCCTACGCGTGGAGTATTAAACTGGAAAGTTTGACCCATGTTGAGGTGATCGCTTATGTCACTCTAACCAAACCATGGGACATCAGTGTATCCACTAATTTCAGCGCAGTATTGCGCCTCTTAATGAAGTTGGCTTAATATAGTTAAATACCAGATAACCAATGTCACACAAATTCACCCATGTGTCATTAACAAATACTGGATGAATACAATTTCCCCAACGCTTGGCGCAGGTAAATCCACAGTCACGGCCGCGTGTGTGTGTTCATGCATCTTGTTGAACTGGGGGAAGGAAATACACACTGAACGACTGAAAAAGTGAGGAGGTGTCTATAGCACCGTCATGGGACACGGTAAAGGCGACACACGTAGGACGAGTGAACCTGATGTAAGTCATGCATGAGGTTTAAAGTCTCGAATACTGAGACCTGGATAGCCTTCAGTGACTCCACCTTTAAGAGGAATTCGCGGATGTTTGAATATAAACATTTAATATAACAACTAATTGTACCAGTGATTTTTTTACTGAACTTCTTGTTTTTTGCACTCTCCACATACACCTTTCACTTAATTTGTTGCCATCTTGGTCATAGTGCTTGTTGTACCTTCCCTCTTATTCTTTTGTAACTGCGCCCATGACTTCAAACTAAGTGGTATCGGTCGGAATAAGTGTCTGCAAGTGTGGAATGGAGGGATGACCACGATTCAACACTTTTTACGGTAATATGTTCTCACGACAGCTGAAGAGGTATTAGCTCCCCACTTAACGACAACCAATTGTTAACATCAATAGACCAATCTGATGTTTTACGATTGAGGATTTAAAGCTTGCATCACGTACAGAAACCGCTAAAATATGGTGCTCGATAAATCCTAAAACAATCCTAATGTCTTAGTGCAGTGAGCTGACACTTCAGAACTTCGCATACCATCTGAATACTGGACTAGGTTTGATTAGTCAAGCTTGACCAAATTTGTCAAATGAATGAATATATAAGACTCAGCTTTTAAAACTGTTCAGAATCGAGCCAACAAAATGATTTATTCGTTTCATTCCAAGTGGCAGCACTCTCAAAATTGATAGGACTGATTTTGGTTTTACTGGACTAAAAATACTCATCATGATTAACTGGTCACTTATGTTCATGTCGTTAAACATACAATCGGTCGTTTGAACTTCCCCAGGGGTTGATCTCGATACACTAGCGTTTCCCAATCACCGGCGAGTTTTATGTTTAGAGGTAACTGCGATGAAAATAAGTAGGCAAACAATCAAGGAATACTGATCACCAACAACCAATGAATATTAAACTTGACTAGACAGACTTTAGTTATAAATATAGAAATTTCATTATTTAACTTCTGACTGGAGATTATGTAGATAAAATTGCTAGAGCAAACAATGAACGTTCCATGGCCGAATAATCCAGATGTGCAAACAAAACATTACTGTCACATATAAAATTCACGTTCATTTACACTTATTTATAACCGATTGGGCGACATCATGTTAAGCCGACGTGTTCAAAATCCCATCATCGATACTATTCTCACTGTTGTCCTAAATACTATTTAAATATGACCATCAGGGTATCTGTATTTGTCAGCATCAACACGTTCAATCACTTGAACGAAAAACACATTTTTTTGACGTATAAACTTTATTGTCAGCAAAATACATGCGAGGCAAACAAATGTGAGAGATGAATTTTCAAAGCTTCTACGACATCGAATCAAAAGCTGTGAAAATTTGATCTCTCATTTGATAATTACAATTTTTGAACAACAATTAAAAGTGCATGTGCAAACGAAAGCAAAGTTATATAGGTGCGATGATCCGTAATGAAAAAACGAAAAACAATCCACTTTTTTCATCGTTTTTTAAAATGTAGGAAAAGGTAATGTATTATTTCCCTGGCTTGCTGTGAACTGGCATTTTTCTGGAGGAATTTTTCAGCTATAATGACGAAATTGTTGAGAGTGAAATCAACAATAGAATGACAATATTTGGTAAATAAACAGTCACTTTGTGATAATAGTAAAACTGTCAATTAACAGACACTTCCAGTTGAATTGTGTTCACATCACAAAAACTGTATCACGTTTTCCTTGGGAAGCTTCTTTTGAATTTCATTTCTGTCGCTATCGCGATTCAAACATGGAGTGATCGTTCACTCTGTTAAGCATGGGATAATATTTCATTTTATTTGGATGTGTGCTGGTATTTCCTGTCCGACGATTTTAAAGCTGTGACGGATGAACCATGATGTTCACCCATTATTGATCGTACGTCGAACTCTATTCACTACATCTGCAATATTCGTCGCAGTAAGCATGTGAAAATAAATAAGTCCATACATTGACCAATTAAAACATCGCGCTGTTTGAAGTGAGGCTCAGTCTCATCAACCTACGTTCGCAATAGTCTTTATAAGACACAATTTTTTTTCCATAAAATAGTGTGAAGAACACATGATTATATTGCTTTCATGTCAGGCTTGCGTCTTCTTAACAAATCTCTTTACAGGGTATCTAACAAGTAGGAAAAACATAGCTGTGATTGAGATGATGTCTGTGAATGTATCGACCATGATTTTTGTAATTAATTTTTATGGTGGACACAAACGTTTTTATTTCCTGTCACTTACTTTCTGTGATAAACCTTTTTTCGATACAGGCGCTTTCGCTGGATGTTTTTTCGGTTTTTTTCCTGGCTTCAATTTTTTAGCAGCTGTAAAAGATCAAGTTGTTGCAGAAACAAAGATCACACAAAATTCAGTAGCATACAAAAGTCGACAAATGATATATTTTTCTACTGAAATCATTGCATATCAGCAGTATTCACATGTTATTGAATTTGTGCTTTCTCCCGTCATCGCTCAACTGTGAAACGTGATATCGATCTTCAAAAGTAGCATTCATTTGAAAATGATTGATTATGTTTATGTATCATTCAGCAAGCATAAAACTGAGTGTGATTTTGAATATGCTTTAAGAATTCATTACACATTTTTATGAAAAATTATGTTCTCTGTGATTAACGTGAACCTAATCTTTATAAAAACAGTAATATGAATGAACTAAACTTACGTCGTGTTTTCCTTTTTCTGCTTCCATTGATTTTAGTCAAGGCAGGTTTCAAGCTCGTTTGTGAATTGGCTTGCTCCGTGACTACAATGAAATTATGTTGTGTTATTTTAAGTCATCGATGAGTATGTACCTTGTGCGCACAAAAATACTCATCACACATAACATCTGCTGAACCAGTTCAAGCAGCTAATGGTCTAGAAAGTTTTTAGAACTTCATTTCCATTGTCTTTCACTTGAATCTGTTAATTAATCCTTAATATGTGTTTGCTATTCGTCATTTCCATACGGTCAATTATATGAAAGGTAACTTGTCAAAGATAAACCATCAAAAAATCTTCCTCACAGCATATTCTTCTCTATGTTTAATGTATCAATGACACTATTGATAAATTTTTAACAATATGTTTTTGTACATCAGTATATACTGAACTATCATGAAAAAAAACATAAGTAACTTGAAAAACGCTGATTTAAAAGAAGTGAATGCTATAATCTTTATCGGATTTTACTCACCTGCTAGTGGTTCCGTTTTTGTTTTACTAGTTTCATCGACAACCTCTTTCAATGAATTTGTCAAGCTCGCTTCTGCTACGACTAAATTGGAGTAAAAGTCTAGATATCATGACAGCTCATATAATTCAATTTCATAATCTAGTTTGACTAAATGTACTCTGATTTAGTTATCCCCATGCCTACAGATACCATCTGCCTAAAGACTATGCTGGTCTCGTGATTGTTATTATTGAACCTGTTGATCGATTGAGTTTTTTTGACCTAGACACAGCAGTTTATTGTTTCTGTGTTCATGATATTCATTCTTTAAATATGTGAAGGTCGGATTACTTATCTTTCTGATTTCATTACGTTTTTTTATATAATCAATTCACTAATTTACTCACTTTTTCGACGATTCTTGCGCAATTCTACGACTGAGTAGAAAATTCGTCGTTTCAAATTGTATTCATTGCAACAATATCCTTGATGTAAGAGCTTCACTGTTGATAATTTCACTTTAAATTTTCCTTCTTTTTCATCAATGAAACAGTTTTCTACTGTTTTCCCAAATTTTTGAAATATGTTTGACATCACAGTTTGCAACTACAATGAAAGTCAAATAATGTTTATAAATTGGGTTTTTTTTCCATATCAAATAAATAAATGTTTCTCTTAATACATTTATTCAAGTAAAAGTGTGAGTTTTGAAATTCAAATGTTTACTCACTTTCATGTTCACATTAAAAACACGACAAAACATTGCTTACTTCGGAACACCAATCAACTTTTGTGTTAGTTAAGTGAGAAGTAATTTCAATCTCATAGAGTTCTACAATGTAAAATGAACAAATGATTTGAAGCAATATGACTGAGATCACTAGGGTATGTATTCTGTAGGTCACAAACAATGTACATCTTACTGTCATTTTGACAAAAATTATTAAAGAGTTATTACTGAACAATCCATAAATCTACGTTTTTGATCATGACTTACCTTTTTCATGAATTTTTAAATCTAAGAAAAAAATGAAATATATAATTTTCATTATACAAAGTGACTTTTAATATTTCATAAATATTTTTTGAAAAAATTATTTACTACTGAGAAATTATGAATTGATAAATCTTTTCACAGGATCTCAACACACAAAAATTATCAACACTGAGAAAATTACTAAAATAACTTACCACTCATTGAAATGATCTCTAAAATGGTAAGAAAAATAATTATATTTGATTGTGTCACAGTAATGAACACGTGTACTTCACATCATTAATTTTGAGTGTATCTAATTTCACTTACCAATTATCTTTGTATCAGTGTCCTTTTTATTACCAGATAATAGTACATCTTTCAATAATTCAAACCAATTCTCAGATAAAAATGCTTTCTCCAATTCATTTGAATACATAGTAAGTGTAATATAAATTATAGTTCCATTTTCATTATTTTTCTGTTTTACTATATTGATATCACATGATAAATTAACTGAACTCAATTTTGGTTCAACTTCTTTCATCATTTTCTTCATCTAATTAAAAGTGTGAAAGAAAACATAGGTGGTGAAAAAGTGACTATTCGGAACGGTTGTGTAATACATTCTCACTGAAAAAAAATGTTTCTCTCAGAGGTGGATTAGATTTTTCACCTATAAAGAGTGATAATCAATTCATTTTAAGATATTCAGATAATCCTAATATTGTGGTGTGTGCTACTTATACGAACGATATAAGTAGTATAAGAATGGACGTGAAAGAAGAACTCTCACGGTCACTAGAGGAAAACGGAAAGCAAATAGAGTAAAAGCAAGAAGGAAATGGAGAATCGACAGGAAGTAAAGGAAGCAACAGCAGGAATGGAAGAAGGCTGGAGTGTTGGAAGTCAGGACTCAAAAATGGTGTGCAAATAGAGTGTTCAATGTAATGTTTTCGTTTTTAATTGACTAAGAGTGTAAATTTCCTAAATACAATACATGGAGCATGCCTCAGTCTTCTCAATATGAGTAACAGTATAAAGAGACGACTATCATTTCATTTCTACATTCGGTTACGAATATGTCAGTTTCAACCTGAGAAACTATCAATCATGATTTACTAGTAATTCGTATTTAATAGATCAACATATTGAACCATTAGCATAAATATCATACAGTTATTTGAATATATTAGTCTCATACATAGAATCACACTTTGAAACCTTGTTGGCTTACATCTTCACAATATGAATCTAATATGTTTATTGATTGAAGATCATTCTTTTTCAACAGACCATCATCTGATTTGACTAATACTTCAAGTTCAGTTTCAACAATTTCTAAAATAAATTAAAATTTACATATGCAACAAGTAAATATGTAAGTGAATTTAGTGAAATAACAAAAAATTCTGATGTACTATGTATGTAATTAACATTGGTACAAGGAGTTTATATACATCAGTGAAAGCTTGACTTTTATTCTTTGTCGTAGTAGTATAGATATTTCAACAAGTTTTTATTTTTCAAAACAATTAGTGAATAACAGTTGAAAATTTGTAGTGTAAGAATTGATAACTTATATAAGTTGATTCTGATCATAACTGATTGCCAGCCACAATGATGTTTTTCTTTTCTACGGTCATTCTCTTTACTGACAATTTCTTTTTAAATGTGTTTTTTTCGGTAGGTATCTTGCATCCACACAGTTTGCAAGTACTTGGTGAAGCTGATGAATAATAACAGTCATTCGTAGTTTCATTTAGCAAAACTACATGGTTTTGTGTTGATAAAGGAATGTTCTTCATTATACTGTATGTGTTCTGTTAGTATACGCTCTTACAAGATGATTTATTAAGTGATGTTTATTCAGCAGGATGTTTTTAAGTCAAAATTGCAGTTCTCAATAAAATTTGGCAGTCTCATGTTCACATGCTGTCGTCCGTGGATCTGTAGTATAGTATGCATTTACTGTAATTGTTTGACAGATATTAGGTTAATCAAGGAATCATTGGATTCTTACATGGTATTCGGTATTTGTGTTTTTTAAATAAACAGTATCATTTCAGCTTAGTTGCGACATCCTCTTAAATATATAATTCCAACACAATAACTGGCTCAGTTAAACCAATTTCGATTCTCTAAAACGTGTTTAGTGCAGTAAATTTATTATGAAGATGATCAAACTGTTGCGTCTATAAGCTAATCAACCCAGACAGTTTTACCTATACATATTTTGATATATCCTTGTTCTCTCATATCAAATGGCACTCTATGCATGATTAGATAGAAACCATCATAGAAAACGTATCATAATTCGAAATGGAAATTATTTACGATTGTTTAATTTTCTTACTAGTTGGCTGTTGTTCATGTTCTACTATAGTGATGAGTGTTCCTGAGTTATCCAACGATGATGGATGAGTTTTTCCAACATTTCCATTTTCAGTTTCTTGTAGATGAATTGATTTACACCATAGGACTAATAGTAGAAGTACTAACACCTTCATTGTGACGATGATATCGCAGTTCTGTGAAAAGAATTTTATAATCAGTACATAAGAATATATATTTTTAAAGTAGAATAAGATTTTAATTCGATTACTAACTAAGCAGTTTATACAATTTGTTTTCATGAAAGAAATTGCAGTGAATTACAAGTTGCAAACATTGAGAATTGTGTTAACTTGGAATTCATCCACCAGAGTTGATTATTTGAAAACAATGCGGGCGTCATTAACTGCTGAATCACTATCGAGAAACTAGAAGCACTATTTATTGTATGAAATAATAAGATTGTATTTTGCTCCCTTAACTTTCTTAATGAACAGTTATTAAACAGTTTAGAAAATAGCTCACAGTTTCCAACAAACTTATTTCTTTGAAAATGGGGACCTTTTAAAGTCGCATTAAGTTAGCTGACTTTATACAAAGTCATAATTTTTTTCAAGTAATAATAAGTTTGAATTACTTACGTGAAACAAAGCGGTACACTTCTATTGAAGAATAGTGTATTGATGAATGATCGAAGAATAATCTCTGGTCCATTTATACCAAAGAAAATTTGTTTACTTCAAAGGGAGGTGTCCATTTTGCAATAAACTAAACATTCAAATGTAGAGAAAACAAAGAAAAAGCAAGCCGGAAAGCAAATGTCAATCACTTGAAAAAAATATGAAGGTGTACTCTGTAAATGACAGTATCAGAAGTAAACACACTTTATTATAGAAGACTATAATCTTCAAAAGGATTTAAAATATGCAAGTGTCAAATAGCTCATTATATGATTATTTTGACTGCTTTTTTCTCACACAGAAAATCTATAGACATATGAAAACAGAGACTAATTTTTATAAAATCAGAACGGCTTCTTTGAACTTAATTATAATATTTTGAATAGTACTACTATCTACTGATAACAGTAATAAGTATGAGTGAGCATACGATCCGAAAGATAAACTAGGTATATTGAGTTGTTCAAATGTGATCTGAAAAATTTAGTACACACTCGCAGCATCACTTGTAGAAGTATTAACTTAAACAACATTAATGGAATGAGATTTAACCACTTTGGTGATGATTGTACAGAAAGCTTTCCCCATGTAACTAAAATAAACGCTAGCAAGGAAATATTCTCGCCTGTAGCATTGAAAAGGAAGTTGACAGTTCCAAGTCCGGTTAAACGAGAACGGTTGGAAAACATTTTAGCTGCCAAATCAAACCAAAAAACTGGGGCACATTGAAAAATAGTAACAACGATTAAAATTCACCCTCAGGAGTTAAAGTCTATTCAATCTGTTACAGGATGTCAATTACTAAAGATAGCAGAAGATCATAAAGAGTCACAGTCTTAATGCGCTTGAAAGGTAAAAACGAGTAACCGCCTAAGACTTCGTCGAAAGCATCATCCGCCAAAATGTTTCAAATACAAAAAGCTAAAGCAAGATCTGTGTACAATAGAACAGATGAGCTGAATGTGATATGATCTTGTTGATATTTGTCATATAATAAGTTTACAGGCACCTGGATAAAGTAACCAGATCTTCGGCAAATATCCAAAATAATACTGACGGATTAGAATAATGCGTCGTAAAGGAGAAATAAAGAGAATAGAGAGAGGAGCAGAAAATATGCTTGTTTAAAGTCAAACAATGACTCACCAGATACTTTGTTGGATAAAACAGATGAACGATTATTCAGACACTGTTTTGTAAAATTGAACACAAACTGTACACCAGCACCCATGTAGGTTCATGAAGATAATTCACTACCAGTTAGAATACGAATAAGCAATCAATGGTATGAAAAGTGGAAATTTAGAAGAACCAAGTTGTAGAGCAATAACATTGACATACTGAATATGATAATGAGGCACAGTGATCTGATGCTTTTTTGATATATTATTTATTCTTTTTCTTACTAACTCTGTATCGGAAGAAGTCATGAGTGAACTCTTTTACGCCGTAATTTTCCAGATCTGCTTGTAATCGGACTTCTTGTTAGGAGGTTAAACCAATGCAAAGTTTCGAACATGAGTCGTTGACAGGGTTCACAAGAGAAAGTAACATGAATGACAGTCATCATTTACATCCTGTAAGCAGCCGTAATCAATCAAAATGTTCTGCCTCACAGACATGGGTAGATTAGGGATTTTGTCAGACGCATCACCATCCCTCCTCACGAAAGAAATGCGATCTCTGAAATTATGAGAACCGAAGATGAATCACTGTAATATCGGTATCAGCAAATATCTTCAAGATAGTTTTGTTAAAGAGAATGAATGGTCGTGTATTTACACAGCTCCGATATCAACAGGCTTGATTCCGTTAGTATGGATTGTGTATCGACAAACATTACGGATTATTTTGATATGATGGATTAAATGGAATTTGGCTCCTGACACTTACTTCATTTTTGATAGCATGGAGAGGATGATTCTGAAGAAGTTTCTTTGACACTCAGATGTGCCTGTAACGATATTTGACATCATAAGGAATTCCTAGGATGGACTTAACTGCATAGCTCTACATCTTCGCAAATTCATTGATGAGCGAGATGGATTTGATGCAGATGGGAAGGCGCGTACTTGCAGGGTAACGATAGCATTTTCACAATAGAAGAACATCTGCACCTCGAAGAAATTATTGACAAACATCAAAGTCAGAATTCTCACTCTAAACGTCAGGAGAGTTGTACTAGAAACGGGAGCGATCGGAGAAATACGGAAGCCACCACATGGACGTTACAAGCGTTTATTAACAGCTGTTTGCACTGGCCAGCCACCGTAAGCAACAACCTACGGTGGGAGCTATCAATTCAAATTCCAGCGTCTTAACTGCGTCACAGAGCAAGATCGCACAGTGAATCCGTCAGTACAACGAAAAAGAGGAATAACAAAACATCAACATGAGAAGAATCAGCAACAATTAGTGGAAAATAGAAAGGGATGACTAGGACCATGTAATTTGAGTATGCTTGTTCGGCGTCACATGCTGCTCTATTAGTAACAGGCATAACTAAGTAAGTAGGTTAGTGAGTAGTTTTTAAATGACGTCCCGTATTCAATAATCCATTAGCATACTAAATCACTCAAATAAGTCAGGTTTTCAAAGGCACTTGAGACAAAAACTAAACAATCTGGCACAGAATTTCAGCGGAGATATTTTCACAGAAGTCTGTATTCATATATTGCTTGACCTTAAATGTTGGTTCGTTTAAATCATCGCAATCTTTGTCGACTGAATGAATGAGAAAACCGCAGTATATCAAAAATGATTAAAGAAAACACCTGCTATTCCATGTGCTCACAAACGCCCTGGAACACAAGCTCAAGTTTCCTCGAACGACACACCGATTTTGAATAATTGAAGCAACGTACCAGACCGAAAGTAGGATCAAAAGTATGGTATACAAACAATTGATTAAATATTGGTTTACAGAAGACAACAAAACAGTTTCTGAATCTGTCGTACTTTTCACAACAATCATACAGAAATATTTCGAAACCTTTCATTCTCCTCGTTTTGGACTTTTCCGAAATTCCATTATACTTACATTTTGATCTGCATTTCTCATCTCAAGTAACCTGATTGATGCTCTTCCCATATCATGGATGATGAAACAATAAACTGTCTTACGGTGATCATCATCATATACTCACCATTTGCTAAGAGATGAATGCTCAGCAGTAATAGAATTCAGCAGACATTGCTCGTTTCATTTAGAACACGAATGCTGGTTATTCTGGAAATCTTTTCACACTGTCTAACGTTTTGAGCGCCGATTGTAACTGGTGCAAACGAAACACATATCCTGCATTCAATTGCTATACACTGTTCATCCCTGCTCAAAATGTTCTTTACTGAAAACACATGTCGAGACAATCGGTATAGTATGTGCATTTTAGCAGTGAACATCAACAGTGTGATCTCACGAACCGATAATATGGAATAACTGTTGTCCAATCAATTCATCGTCTTTTGACGACGCTTCAGAAAGAAGATCAAAAGAATTTGTGTTCTAATCAGTTAAATGTTGCTGTTGTTGTCAATATTGTCTGCGCGGTATGTCCTACACACAGTCGCATGATTAACACCGCCTTGAAGTGTGTGTGTGTGTACGTTTGATCTTTGATTGAGTTTACGTGATGTTAAAAATTAGCTTTCTATATCAATCAAAAACAGATATTTTTCTAGTGGCGGTTAGTTCCAGAAAACATAATAGACTTCTGAATGTTATTATTTTTACACTGAGAAGTGTCTTTCAAATTAATTGGGACGCATCTTTGTAATGATTGAACTAAGTTATCTAAATAACGTTTTCTCTTTTCATTAGCTCTAACTTTGATAAGAATCGTTAAGTGGAAGTTGTTCGAATCCAGATATCCTGAAATGCATAACAGTTTTTGTAAAGAAATGTTCTTCAATAACAGTGGGAGTCACACATGTACTTTCATAAGCATTGTTCGATCGAAGCAGTAATCTAATAAATGAGCTCTGTTACGAAAGATACAATAACAAGACATCTTTTTCATGATTAAGTAAAGCTAGTTGCTCAACTAACTCACTTTTTATCGAGAATAACTGCGTTTGGAATTGTCATATAAAAAGCATTCGACTCCCGATAAAAAAGATGGAGTAAGCGGTTACATGAAAGTTTTCGAAAAGTATGGAGTTCAATAACTGCAGACATAATTATAACTGCCTTGTAAATCCGACCAATGATAGTGTTACAGACGTGCACAGGACGATGACACAAACCCTCGAGTGCCTCTATTGCAACTGAAGAGGACTGAGGAGTAAGTTGGGAGAGATCAGGAATTTGTGCACTCGGATATGTTAGCAGGTTGAAATTCGAACCGGAACACGGCTGTCTGCCTACACTGCAGCTAACGGATTCAGCTTTCGTGGTTTTATAAATTCCATCGAATGTAGCCGATATTTTGCTACTAAGGTTGGTGACTAAACGAAAAGTTATGGATCAAAGTGTTTGCCCTCAGATTTGTTCAAAG